ATATGTGGATAGATCAGATGTGTGCATAGATCAGGATGTATGGATAGATCAGATGTATGGATTAATCGGATGTATGAATAGATCGGATGCATGAATAGATCGGATGTGTGCATAGATCGGATGTATGGATAGATCGGATGTATGGAAAGATCGGATGCATGAATAGATCGGATGTGTGCATAGATCGGATGTATGGATGGATCGGATGTATGGATAGGTTTCATGTATGGATAGATTTGATGTATGGATAGGTTTCATGTATGGATAGATTTGATGTATGGATAGATCGGAAGACAAGAAAGGTATGCGGGTAAGAAGATATTTGTTGTAGCGAGAAGAGAACCTGAAATGTTCTAGGGTATGGCAGTAATGCCGATACACAAGTAACAAGCCCCCGTGTGGGTTCCGGGGCCCCATTGTGGGGATAACAAGAATAGACCCACTGCCCCCCGTGTGGGTTCCGGGGCCCCATTGTGGGGAAAACAAGAATAGACCCACTGTCCCCCGTGTGGGTTCCGGGGCCCCATTGTGGGGAAAACAAGAATAGACCCACTGCCTCCTCAAAAGCATGTCGTAAGAGTCGACTAATTGGGGAGCTTCCTTTGAAGTCGGAGTGTATCTGCCAGAGAGGCAAGGAACCATCAGTCTGTATTCAAGAGAATGAGATTTGTAAAACTGATGCACACGCAACACTTAGGTTCTGGAACAGGACTGCAGTTCAGTAGTGGACGAGCAACCAGAACCTTCCGCCAGAGTTTACAGCTGGTGAACGCGAAGAAGAAGAAGACAAGTAACAAGGTTGGGCGCGGGTAGAAGGAAAGAACCTTTTCTACGCCTTCAGACTGTTGGACATACAGGGCAAGACCTATGTTATATAGATCAGTCAGCACACAGTGGGTGATGTCGTCAGCATCACGCCGGCCGCCTTTACTTCTCACGACTTCACCTCGTACCCATTTAAGGCTGGGGAGCCAAGGTCTCCGTCTAGACCTGAACCCACAACCTTCAGATCTGCAGGCGGGCGTCTAGCCGCTACACCTCGGAGGGCGTCTAGCCGCTACACCTCGGCGGGCGTCTAGCCGCTACACCTCGGCGGGCGTCTAGCCGCCCTACCTCGGCCGGCTCCCCTGTTATGTAGCATTCTCCCTATATGCTTCAACCATCGCAGTCTATGAGCCCTCACGATGCAGTAGTTACTGTTGTGATGCGATCAATTATTTATATATTGCAGGGATACTTGTTGGAGGTCAACACTATCATTCTACCTTGTCTGAGCATTAATGCTCGCGTTCGGTGCTCCGACTGTTGTCTTATCTTCTAGTCCCCCCACAATGTGAGGTCTGGCTACAATTGTGTGTGGGTACCTGTGTGTAAGGGGCAGGGTATTTGAGGGGGAGATATGTGTGAGGAGAAACAGATGTGTTCGGGGAAAGAATGTGTGAAAGAAGATGCTGAATATTTGACTAGCCCAGGAGAGAAGGAGAATGAATTATGTATGGTGAAGACCTGCACAGAGAATAGAGATGAATCTGTAAAACGGATGTGCACGCAAAATTCAAGTTCTGGAATCAGATTTAAGTCCTGAAGTGGTTGAACAACAAGAACCTTCCGCCGGAATTTACAACAGGTAAATGTGAAAAGTTGGAGGGGAGGAGAGGCAGAGGAAGACCGAGAGAACAGATGCTGGACAGTTTGACATCATGGCATGGAGGGTCGTCTGTGTTAGAGTTAATTGAAAACACACGAAACAGAAGGTTGTGGAAAAACATGAGTAGGCATGACTACCAATGCCACACAGCATGGACTTCAAGAAGAAGTGCGAACAGGAAGAAGATCAACTTTCATTTTAGGGCCCATCCAGTCCCCTTGTTTCTTGTGTGTACATTTGGTAAATCTGTGCTGATTTCTGTTCAGGATGTGTCCAGTAAAGCGACATCTTCTCTGTCTTATAACTGTTGTTACTAGTGGTTGCCCAGACATTTCTCTGATTTATTCAACCCTCTTGAAATCGTCCCCGGAAAGGCTAACCCCGACAACAAATGCCGGCAGAAGTCGGATGTGTCGGTAGAAAGGCGCAGATATCGCAGCCATGCTGTAAACGGGCACAACGCATCTGCGTCTTCGGATGAAAGGAGAAGAATCAGAGGGGAAAAAAAAATGTATCCCATTTAATGTTTATTTGCACATAATAACAACATTATTGCGCACTTTAACAAAGCTAAAACCCTTTGACAGCTCGACAATTATAAAACGGCTGAGCCCACTTCGCCCTGTTTTTGGTCGACGCCCCTGATCTTCACAGATGTTACCCTCCACGCAATCACACTCAGATGATTCTGCTACCTACAGACACCAATTACCTTTCTTTTCATCTCTAAATACACTTGACTCACCCATCCCTGCTCCACACCACACCAGCTTGCCTAGAACCTCTCCTCCAAGGAACTTACCCCCATGTTCTGGTATGTTGAACCTTGTCAGCCAAACGCCTGACCTACTTTCCTCCCTACCAGTTGTAAATAGTATCTGCAAAGGAAAGGTTTTTAGTTCTGGAGTTATCTCCGCGTGAGTTCTGAGAACCCATTATCACCTGCTTTATGAAGGTATCTTGTTCTGGTCAGTGTATCGATCAGTTCACCCGAGGTCAGTATATTGATCAGTGCACCTGAGGTCAGTGTATTGATCAGTGCACCTGAGGTCAGTGTATTGATCAGTGCACCTGAGGTCAGTATATTGATCAGTGTACCTGAGGTCAGTGTATTGATCAGTGCACCTGAGGTCAGTGTATTGATCAGTGCACCTGAGGTCAGTATATTGATCAGTGCACCTGAGGTCAGTATATTGATCAGTGCACCTGAGGTCAGTATATTGATCAGTGCATCCGAGGTCAGTGTATCGACCAGTTCACCCGAGGTCAGTATATTGATCAGTGCACCCGAGGTCAGTATATTGATTTCACCCAAGGTCAGTGTATCACCTGAGGTAAGAATATCAATCAGTTCACCCGAAGTCAGTATATTGATCAGTTCACCCCAGGTCAGTATATCGATCAGTTCACCTGGGGTCAGAATATCAGTCAGTTCACCCGAAGTCAGAATATCAATCAGTTCACCCAAAGTCAATGTATCAATCAGTTCAGTTCACCCGAGGTCACTATATTTATCAATTCACCCAAGGTCAGTATATTTATCAGTTCATCCGAGGTCAGTGTATTTATCAGTTCACCCGAGATCAGTATATTTATCAGTTCACCCGAGGTCAGTATATTTATCAATTCACCCGAGGTCATTATATTGATGATGATGAGTTCACCCGAGGTCAGTGTATTTATCAGTTCACCAGAAGTCATTATAGTGCTCTATTCACCTGGGATCATTATAGTGCTCTACTTACTTTTGGTAATTACAGTGCAGAGAGGAGAGCTCACCAGGGACCCAAGAAATAGTTTTTCTTGTAATAAATTCCTCTTATCCAGAAAAGATTTCAAGGAAGGGAAAGTTACCGGTCATAAACATTGTTCTTCACAACAGAAATTTGCCACACCCAAGATAACTGAGTGTGGTCTGCAGTGTTGTGCATGTAGTGTTCTAATCACCCGGAGTCAGTAGATTGATCTGTTTACCCCAGATGATTGTTCAGCAAAGGTTAGGTCCCTATGTTTGATTCACATGAGTTGGGTTATTATTTCTGTAGGGCTCTAACTCCATTAAACACTTATTTCTGATGTTGCTTCTTGGAATGATTCTTGTCTTGACTTGAAGTTACGCTTTCAACTATCTTGAAATGAACCTTGGTTTGACTTGAAATGAACCTTGGTTTGCACCGGCTTCAACGTCTAGGGTTGACAACACAAACGCCACTCAGCTTCTTTGTAAATGCTGTCAGTTTATTCTGGTCCATGTATTCAACATGCTTACACAATTATTCTCAATTCTATCACTCGCGACATATTCGAACATTAACCATTCGCGCAACATAAAAACGACATCTTCAATTACTACAACCGTCTTCCCTGACTTCTGATGATCTACTGACCACGAGGCTAGCTCGGGCTGCCCCTCGCTTACTCCACCGGCCACAAGTATCTTGTGCCGTCACTTGTAGCACGGACTTCCTGCTTGCCACAATGTACTCGTGGAGACCATGCAAAGCAGGGTCATCACACTTCTGTCCACGATACTATTCAGCATTGATGCCATATTCACTCAACTGTGTCACTCATTACTGATGTCACCTTACTCCATCATGTCACTCATTACTGCTCTCACCCTTCACTCCATCATGCCACTCATTATTGTTCTCACCCTTCACTCCACCATGCCACTCATTATTGTTCTCACCCTTTACTCCATCATGCCACTCATTACTGCTCTCACCCTTCACTCCATCATGCCACTCATTACTGTTCTCACCCTTCACTCCATCATGCCACTCATTACTGTTCTCACCCTTCACTCCATCATGCCACTCATTACTGTTCTCACCCTTCACTCCACCATGCCACTCATTACTGCTCTCACCCTTCACTCCATCTGCCATCATTATTATTCTCACCCTTTACTCCATCATGCCACTCATTACTGTTCTCACCCTTCACTCCATCATGCCACTCATTACTGTTCTCACCCTTCACTCCATCATGCCACTCATTATTGTTCTCACCCTTCACTCCACCATGCCACTCATTATTATTCTCACCCTTTACTCCATCATGCCACTCATTACTGCTCTCACCCTTCACTCCATCATGCCACTCATTACTGTTCTCACCCTTTACTCCATCATGCCACTCATTATTGTTCTCACCCTTCACTCCACCATACCACTCATTACTGATCTCACTTTTCATCCACCCTGCCACTCATTACTGATCTCACTTTTCATCCACCTGCCACTCATTACTTATCTCACTTTTTATCCACCCTGCCACTCATTACTGATCTCACTTTTCATCTACTGTGCCACTCATTACTGATGACATTCTATGACGCCAGCCACTGATGACCTCATGTGCTCTCCAGCAGGTCACAGACTGCGATGCTTGTGGGTCCCAGCCAGTGCTCGGAGATATGTCCGCATGTGACCACTTTACACAGAATGCCTGGCGACCAGATCTCTGCTCTACATGCCAGAGGGCCAAGTCAGAGCATGCTGGCATCCAAGGACCCAGGTCCTGGCGGAGAAAGAGCGAGCCCAACCCTAACAATGCAATCACTGGAGTTCGAATTTCTGCACTGGCCAGCAAATTCCAGGCTGCGGATGCCAGAAATGGACACACAAGAGAAGCGGAGATTGACAGGGTCAAGACTTTAGGTAAGCAGACACCATCTTCTGGTGAAGTTAAGTAATTAGTCCACTTCTTCTTAACATTCACTGACTGTAAATATCAGCAGAAATTCCTGGTTGTTCCTCCACTTCTGGACTTTGGTCTCATTCCAGAACTTGAGTTTTGCATGTATATCCATTTTACAGATCTGGTTAACTTGTATGCAGACTGTTAGTTCCTTGTATCTGAGGCAGATGTGCTCCAGCTTCAAAGTTAAATCCCTAGTCACCTTTTTTGGGACATGCTTGTTTGGGGGGCAGTGGGTCTATGCCCCCCCCCCCACAAGGGGTCCTGGAACCCACACGGTGTAGTAAAGGAGATAATTTACATTCTGTGGACCTGCCAGCTGTGCTGTTAAGGGTGGACAGAAGAGAAGATGTGAAATACTTCCAGGTTATCTGCTCTGTAGCAGCTGAGTCTTTTTCCCCAGTCTCTGAAGTTTTGTGTTTTGTTAAAAATTATGTCCTTCATTTCATGAGTACGGGTGTTCTGGAGATTCCAGAGAAGTTGCTCCTGGAGTTATGGAGATTTGTTTTTTGTGCTGCACTGCTGAGAGAGACAGAGCCACAAGTGGTATTGTAACTTAAGGATTTGCAACCTTTGAGGTCAGAGTGCAGGATTCTCAGTATTCTCAAGGAGGCTGGACAAGTAGATGGTTCAGGAGATGACAGAGAATCAACAACTTTGACATGACTTCAATATATTAATGTCAAAACAGGTGTTGTCTGACATGAACACTGCAGAGGTAGCTAAAGAAGAATAGTAAACCCAACACAGAACTGTGTTATCGGTCACCAGACACTAAAAGAAATACTGAAGATTGGATCCGAGCACTAATGGACTTGTCTGATGTGTGAAGTGGATGATTGGTCGATCAAATAACTAACTTAAGAAAAACATGATGCAGAAGGACTGGCAGTGAATAAACAAGGCAGACTGTTCTGACAATTATTCTCTGTAACTGACAAGCCACATGATGATATTTTTATTGTTGTTTACAGATCGAAAGACCACAAGAAACAGAGAAAAGGTCATCAACACGTCCCGGTCAACAGAACTTCTGGACTCATCCATGTCCGCGTCATCCACATCATCATCATCATCAACCACAACTTGTGCAATATCCAGCTCAACAAATCATTCAGCCGAGCTGAGGTCGCAGGCTGTACAGGTTCAGATTGATAGGGTCAAGAGCAAGAACACCACATTCCCCACAACAGCATTACCACCAGCAGCATCATCATCATCATCATCATCTTCTTCTTCTTCCATGACTACACATGTTTCTGCGATGGCTGCTACTTATTCTGAGAAAACGGGTCCATCATCTGCAGCTACAGCGAAACCAAAATCAGCATCATCAGCTAGTGTGGCTACAGCAAAGACATCAGCACTCCCGTCCAGCAATAAAATCTCTTCTCAGTCATCAGCGTTATCATCATCATCAGAATCTTCATCAAAAGGAGGGTCATCAGCAACGTCATCTTCAGCAGCGGTTAAATCAAACCGCACGCGACATCCTGGCAAGGAGCCAACTAAAAAGGTGACCATCACTCAGCCCTCCTTTAAACAATTGACAGCATCATCATTTGTAAAAATTCAGCACACAGATACCTCCATGGAGTCCCAGCCATCAAAACAACAGCAGCCCAGGGGGAAGCAGAAACGACGTGTGAGCATCCCCGATCGTGAGCCGGATATTATTGGGACCGATGGAGGGCTGGACAATCTAGTCCCGGAGGAAGAGGTTGTGAGTGGAGGAGATAGTGAGCAAATCTGTTTGTCCTTAACGGATGAGGAGAAGCAGTTTGCTCTGCTGGCCCTGGGGAATACTCTTTGGAATTCTGATACCAGGAACTTACAGGTAAGGTTTGTTTGTGATGTGTCATTGTTTGTGATGTGTCATTGTTTGTGGTGTGTCATTGTTTGTGGTGTGTCATTGTTTGTGGTGTGTCATTGTTTGTGGTGTGTCATTGTTTGTGGTGTGTCATTGTTTGTGGTGTGTCATTGTTTGTGGTGTGTCATTGTTTGTGGTGTGTCATTGTTTGTGGTGTGTCATTGTTTGTGGTGTGTCATTGTTTGTGGTGTGTCATTGTTTGTGGCGTGTCATTGTTTGTGTGTGTCATTGTTTGTGGTGTGTCATTGTTTGTGGTGTGTCATTGTTTGTGTCATTGTTTGTGATGTGTCATTGTTTGTGGCGTGTCATTGTTTGTGGGGTGTCATTGTTTGTGGTGTGTCATTGTTTGTGGTGTGTCATTGTTTGTGATGTGTCATTGTTTGTGATGTGTCATTGTTTATGGTGTGTCATTGTTTGTGATGTGTCATTGTTTATGGTGTGTCATTGTTTATGGTGTGTCATTGTTTGTGATGTGTCATTGTTTGTGATGTGTCATTGTTTGTGGTGTGTCATTGTTTATGGTGTGTCATTGTTTGTGGTGTGTCATTGTTTGTGGTGTGTCATTGTTTGTGATGTGTCATTGTTTATGGTGTGTCATTGTTTGTGGTGTGTCATTGTTACTGGTGTGTTTGTGATGTGTCATTGTTTATGTTTGTTTAGGCTGTTGTTTATGGTGTGTCATTGTTTGTGATGTGTCTTTTGTGATGTGTCTTGGGCCCTTCTGTTGTTTTCTTTCTCTCTCTTTTGCTCTTTCTCTAAACTACAGTCACCGAAATGTGTGTGACCTTTGAAAATAATTTGCTACTTCATTCAGTTTTTATCTATTCTTATCTTTGTCTCTGGAATTCTGATAGTATTTGTTGTCAGTTTAGTTCAGCTGAATCTGTCTCTCTCTTTCTCTCTCACACTCTCTCTCTCTCTCTCTCACTCTCTCTCTCTCACTATATATGTATATATGTGTGTATATATGTGTGTATATATATGTGTTGTGTATATTATTACCTGTTAACATATATATATGTGTGTGTATATATATATATATATATATTTCTATATAAATTAGCTGTTAACAGATGTGTATATGAAATGATGTACAAAAGGAGTGAGATTAAAAGGGCTGAAAGTTAAACTGGCCTGCATATCCGATTCTTAACCTTTTGAAAATACAGTTTATTTGTTAGTTTATTGTTGTCTCTCTGTCTCCTCATTATATCTCTCTCTATCCGTATTTATGTCTGTGCTTCACCTGTCTGCCAGTTTCTTTCTCTTTTGTTCCCAAAAATGTGTCTTCATCTGTCACTTGTCTGTCTGAATGTCTCGCTCACGCTCCTTGTCTCATTGTGTCTATCTCTAGCTCTTTATCTTTATGTCTTTAAATTTTGTCCAGTCCCCCTTTGTCTTTCCATGTGTTATTTTCTTTTTACCACATTTTTCTAATTTAAATTATCTCACAATACTCATTGTGGCATACAGTTTTGGTTTTTTAGCATAACTCTGATGTCTGTAACTCTGATGTCTGTAATTCTGATATCTGCAACTCTGATGTCTGTAACTCTGATATCTGCAACTCTGATGTCTGTAACTCTGATGTCTGTAAGTCTGATGTCTGTAAGTCTGATATGTATAACTCTGATGTCTGTGTCTGATATCTGTAACTCTGATGTCTGTAACTCTGATGTCTGTAAGTCTGATATCTGTAACTCTGATGTCTGTAAATCTGATGTCTGTAAGTCTGATGTCTGTAACTCTGATGTCTCTAAGTCTGATGTCTGTAAGTCTGATATCTCTAAGCCTGATGTCTCTAAGTCTGATGTCTGTAAGTCTGATATCTCTAAGTCTGATATCTCTAAGTCTGATGTCTGTAAGTCTGATATCTGTAACTCTGATGTCTGTAAGTCTGATATCTCTAACTCTGATGTCTGTAAGTCTGATATCTGTAACTCTGATGTCTGTAACTCTGATGTCTGTAAGTCTGATATCTCTAACTCTGATGTCTCTAAGTCTGATGTCTGTAAGTCTGATATCTCTAAGTCTGATATCTCTAAGTCTGATGTCTGTAAGTCTGATATGTATAACTCTGATGTCTGTGTCTGATATCTGTAACTCTGATGTCTGTAACTCTGATGTCTGTAAGTCTGATATCTGTAACTCTGATGTCTGTAACTCTGATGTCTGTAAGTCTGATGTCTGTAAGTCTGATATCTCTAAGTCTGATGTCTGTAACTCTGATGTCTCTAAGTCTGATGTCTGTAAGTCTGATATCTCTAAGTCTGATGTCTGTAAGTCTGATACCTGTGAATTAATTTTGCAGGTTGGAGCCGACATCTCCAGAAGAACATGCCGAGAGTTTGAAGACCTCAGTGTGGATGAATTGTGGAGTCAAAACAGGTTCAAATCTCTGGTCAGCTGTGACCCTGTGCGGAAAAAGAAAGACTTTGGTACCTTTCCACAAGTAAATACCTCCAAACATTCTAAAGCTGCTGTTGGGAGCCTCAGTTTTAGTTCACAAGGCAAGAAAGCTTCCGGAGGAGCTCCAGAAGGCAACAGCAGGTCCCTCAGCCAGGCTAGCACTGATGGAGATGTCATGGAGGATGAGAGCGCGACTACAAGTAGTGAAGATCTAGCTCCACAGGGAGTGATAGTATCCAAGGATTCTAGAGGTAAAGGATCAGGCTCTGGCCATGAAGTCAAAGAAGAGGATCAAGCAAACTGTAGCAAAGGAGGTTCGAAGGCTGGCATTGGGTCTGCCTTTTCTTCAGACCCTAAAGAGTCAGTTGATTTATTCGCTGCGACAGATTCCTTGGACAAGTCCCATAATGGGCTGGAGCATGTTGTTGGTAAGAAAGCACTGAAAACATCTGAGAACAATGCCGGTGTCGCGAAAGTGGACAATTGTGATCCCACCTGTGATGCTTCTGTTGCCACTTCTCCGTTGTCAGTAGCGGTAAAGAACCAAGACTCTTCTGAGGTGAATCAGAAGCAAGTTGTTACAACTTCCTTGGCAGATGTTGCTCAAGATGAGCGTGTGAGTGCTTCATTTGCTGACAGCACTGAAGAGGAGGAGTTTCAAGCTGTAGCTTTGCTTAATGAGGTTCTTGAAGTCTACGGAGAGATGAATGAATCATCAACTGATGATTTTACTTCAGCTGAAGAGAAAAAAGGTAAGAAATCTTCAGACTTTGAGGCCAGAATGGCATCGGTTGCTGCAACACTGGACTTAACCAAGCAGCAACAGCGAGGAAAGCGGCAGGCTCCACGGCCATCAGTATCTCCCCCGCCGGAACCAAATTTGTCAGAAGGAGTGTCCCCAAAAAAGGTTGTAAACCAGCCAGATCCAGTTTTCAAGATGGTGACTGTAGGAAAGAGCATCGTCAGTCTGCCTCCACAACAGGACATGCCTCCGAAGAACACGAAGCCCGCACTAGTCTCTTATGGGTTTGATGAATTCGGGGCGTTACCAGATTCTTCAGATATTGCCAACAGTAGAGGCACCAATGGCGATGGAAAAGGCAAAAAAGGCATAACCTCTTTCTTCAGAAACATCCTCAGACGAGGGAAAGACTCCTCCGAGAGTTTTGATTTAGCAAATCCTGATGTTCAGTTAAGTGTCAGGATGGACAGAAAAGTGTCAACTGATACCGTCGAAAGTGTAGACCTGCCTGATGAGGATTCATCATCGTCATCGTCTGTTGACCAAAAGGTTGGACCTAAATTTTCCCCTCAAGCTAAGTTTTTGATCATGCCGTCAACGTCACCGGCACATGCACTCAATGGGACCTTGTCAGATGGAGCGGGGGATACTGATGGTGAAGGTGCTTTTCAACCAGAAGCTGATACAGCTGCTACGTCTACATTGTCATCTGTAGCCATGGTTGCTGGGCCATTGGTCAAGAGCAGTCCTCCCGCCCAAAGGAGAAACAGTAAAGGGCTGGCGAGCCCCAAAATGATGCCAAGAAAAGTCACAGGCAAATCCTCGCCACCAACTTCTCACCATATCACCACAGCTCAGGAAAAAGAGCAAGATATTTTCAGCAGCATCATCGTCAGCCAAACTCTACCCTGCACCAAAACCATCAGTGCCACCTCCAGCAAAGCCGCCGGTAACTTCTATACCAGACATGCCATCTTCAGTCAGACCGTCAGTGACATCTGTGTCAGATGTGCCATCAGCAGCATCATCATCTGTGACAGAAGATAGGTCGTCATCTGCAACATCAGCAGTCACAAAAGAGTTACCGGATAAAGAGTCTGTAGCTGCTCCAAGTGTTGTACGACGTCGCCCAAAGAGCCCCAAACGAGTTGCACCACCTGTACCTCCAACTAGGACATCTACTGGAGCAGGTAAGTGAGTCTGGAGAGAACAGTGAGACTAGCACAGGTAAGTGAGTGTGGAGAGAACAGTGAGACCAGCACAGGTAAGTGAGTGTGGAGAGAACAGTGAGACTAGCACAGGTAAGTGAGTCTGGAGAGAACAGTGAGACCAGCACAGGTAAGTGAGTGTGGAGAGAACAGTGAGACCAGCACAGGTAAGTGAGTCTGGAGAGAACAGTGAGACCAGCACAGGTAAGTGAGTGTGGAGAGAACAGTGAGACCAGCACAGGTAAGGAGTCTGGAAGAACAGTGAGACTAGCACAGGAGTGAACAGTGAGTGAGACCAGCACAGGTAAGTGAGTGTGGAGAGAACAGTGAGACCAGCACAGGTATGTGAGTATGGAGAGAACAGTGAGACCAGCACAGGTAAGTGAGTGTGGAGAGAACAGTGAGACCAGCACAGGTAAGTGAGTGTGGAGAGAACAGTGAGACCAGCACAGGTAAGTGAGTGTGGAGAGAACAGTGAGACCAGCACAGGTAAGTGAGTGTGGAGAGAACAGTGAGACCAGCACAGGTGAGTGAGTGGAGAGAACAGTGAGACCAGCACAGGTAAGTGAGTGTGGAGAGAACAGTGAGACCAGCACAGGTAAGTGAGTGTGGAGAGAACAGTGAGACCAGCACAGGTAAGTGAGTGTGGAGAGAACAGTGAGGCCAGCACAGGTAAGTGAGTATGGAGAGAACAATGAGAGAGAGAGTCAGGGAGAGAAAAGATAGAGCAGGATAAAAAGATGTGTCTTCTCTTTTCTTTTCTTTGGTTTTATGGTCTATCTGTTTTACAGATCTGGCTTATTTGTATGCAGACTGTGGGTTCCTCACCTCTGAGGCAGATGCCCTCGGACTTCAAAGGAAACACCTCTGATTATTCAATAGCTATGACAGCCTTATTAACTGAGTCCCAAAGAACGCATCGTGCGTTCATAGGTTTGTACCTAGAAGCCCAATGAACGCATGATGCGCCGATTTTATGACTCTCTTAACTACCCCCTGGGCCTGTGATGCTAAACCCCCTGGGCCTGTGATGCTAAACCCCCTGGGCCTGTGATGCTAAACCCCCTGGGACTCAAAGAGTTAAGGTTGACATTTTACCTATTCTCTTTGTCCCTAAAAAGATTTTTCACAAAACAGAATGTCCATAACAAGTTTCCACAGGTGATTCTGGGGTATTGGATTGGTTTTATAACCTTCTCGGATGCAGGCAACAAAAACAGAGGGAGATCAATCTATTCGGTGATTCTGGGGTAGTGTATTGGTTTTATAACCTTCTCGGATGCAGGCAACAAAAACAGAGGGAGATCTATCTATTCGGTGATTCTGGGGTAGTGGATTGGTTTTATAACCTTCTCGGATGCAGGCAACAAAAACAGAGGGAGATCTATCTATTCGGTGATTCTGGGGTAGTGGATTGGTTTTATAACCTTCTCGGATGCAGGCAACAAAAACAGAGGGAGATCTATCTATTTATGGCTCAGTACAAACAAAGCAGAAATTGACAAAATAAATAGAGCACTCAAACTACTGCCATGACAGTATTTCAAAAGTAGAACAATTACCTTCAGAAGAATATTATTAGCATGTGTGTACATCTACCATTGAAAAAAAAAAAAAAAACGAATTACTATGCTAACAGGTGCATTTAATTACAGATTAAGACCCCCCCCAATCTTTCTTTTCCAATCATTTATTTATGCTGGGGGGGGGGGGATTGCCATATTCAAAAAGGGGTGCTACCGGGAAAATTTTTTAAGACAACTGCTTTAGCATTTATGGGAGTATTCAAGTTTGCAGTAAAAGGGATTTTTTTGTAAACCAGATTAGTTTTCTTGTCTGATGGCTGTTGTTTAACACTGACCATGTGATCTGTTACAGGCAAGGCTGTGAATGCTGAGTCCTGGGATGTTGGCAGAGAGCAGGAGCCAAAGCAGAGAAAATCTGCAGAACTCTCAGGTATGTACGTGGTGCAGGGAACAAGGCATTGATGTATGATAGGGTCCTAAGCTGGTCGATCAAGGTGTACATGGTGCAGGTGACAAGGCATTGACATGAAGGCACGTGTATGATAGGGTCCTAAGGTTGTCGATCAAATGTATGGATGGATGTTATGTCTTGCTGTTTTAGTTAATGTGTTTTCAGCCCAGCTGCATTTGACTTATAGCTGTGATGTCATAAATGTTAGAATGTCTCTGTTACGCTTAGAGTTGTGACAGCATAATAGTTCACTTCCATTGCTTTTATACTGTGATAATCTGTCTCTGTTACTTTTAGAACCATAAAACGAGTCTGACATTAAAAACCATTTTGACATAACGGTTAGTAATACTCTTCATCTTTGGGCCTATCTTATCCCTGTGTATGTTACGGAGGTTGGGGAGAGGGGGGGAATAGATCTACTGGCCTTCTAACAGACATTTCATCATTGGGTGGCAGCGCATCTGCCTGAGAGACAACCGGCATACATCTTCTTCTTCTTCACATTCACCGGCTGTAAACTCCGGCGGACATTTCTGGTTGTTGTCCACATCTGGACTCTAGCCCTGTTCCAGAAACTGTGTTGTGTGCACATCCATTCTACAGTCTCACTTGTTTGCATTCAGACTGTTGGTTCCTTGCTTCTCAGGCAGGTGTACTCCGACTTCGTAGGAGGTTCATAATTAGTCGACTCTTAGGACATGCTTTCAGGCAGGCATTGGGTCTATTCTTGTTTTCCCCCCACAATGGGACCCAGGAACCCACATGGGGAGCCTGCATAAATAAATACACCAGATCTATCAAATGTTTGCGTTGCAGAACTGAAGTTCAGGAACAAGATTTCCAGATTTGCATTCTGTAAGATTTACATGTTAATGACGAGAGTCAAACAGGTACAGATCCAGAAAACCCTGTTCTAACCTAAAGCCGTATGCTGCGGGGTTTTTGTTGTTGTTACACCACAAAATGGTTAGGAAGTAGTCCACTGTGGGTAGGTTGTACGGGTGTGAATTGGCTGTTGTTGTTGTTTAACCCCATCAGGACTGTACAATGAGCAACCAACACCCAGTGACACAAAGTGCCACCATTCGGATGAGGATCACCCAGGCACAAGTCCCGGAAACCCAGTGCAACCCAAAGGTTGGGTTATGTTAGGGCCCCGGAAAACTGCCGGAGTGGGGCTTTAAAATAACAAAAAATTGCGTGCCATACTGGGATGTTGTGTAACGTTGTTTACAAGTGTGAAATGCCTGGGGCCTTTAGGGAGAATATGAGTTAACAGAAAGACAAATTATCTGTACAAAAAAGAGTTGTCTGGCCGTTAACTACATGGTACACCGAGAAGATGTTAGAGAGTTATACAGGCAGACGTACAAGCACTTAGAGTCACAAACTGGACAGAGAAGTCAAAGGTAGTGATGTCTGCAGTAACAAACCTCAAGAGCTTAGAATGAATGGAGGTGAGTGATGTCTGCAGTAGCAAACCTCATGAGCTTAGAATGAATGGGGGTGAGTGATGTCTGCAGTAGCAAACCTCATGAGCTTAGAATGAATGGAGGTGAGTGATGTCTGCAGTAGCAAACCTTAAGAGCTTAGAATGAATGGAGGTGAGTGATGTCTGCAGTAGCAAACCTTAAGAGCTTAGAATGAATGGAGGTGAGTGATGTCTGCAGTAGCAAACCTTAAGAGCTTACAATGAATGGAGGTGAGTGATGTCTGCAGTAGCAAACCTTAAGAGCTTAGAATGCAGAAAAATAACAAGAAGCATCCTTTGTTACTTGTAGAAATGCGGTTGTAGAACCATGCACACATTAATCAGTGAAGTTGGGATTGTCTCCCTGTATGGGACTTAGCAATAAAGTGCCATGGAATCTCTCCGCTTTTTTTTTTGTTCATTACATATTTTCTGGCGTTTCAGGGGGAGGTACTCTGCCGAGATCAGAACTGAGAGAGTCTACCAGACGTTCATTACCAGAACCGCCATCGCCTCCAGGGGAGAGAAAAGACAAGTCATCAGGGTCACCTGTAGGTTCAAGGTCACCTCCAGTGTCTCCAATAAAAGAAACGCTGCATTCACTTCCTTCTTCTCCATCGAGCCCGGCATTATCATCCTTTGATTTCACAAACTCCCAGTGGTCAGGGGGGTCTACAACGATGATTGACGACGAACTACCAAAGTTTTCTGAAAAGATTGAACTTCCGACCGTTGCCACACAAAGCAGGAAAGGAATTCTGGGTAAATTAGGGGGAAATAGGAAGACGAAAGCTCCACAGCCACCTTCAGTGAAAAGAGCAAAATCTATAACACAGTCATCTACCCTGCCAAGAGGAGATAAGAAGAATAAAAAAATAAATGTAGCCGATATCTCCGGGCCTGTGGTGAGTGGTGCTTGTGGTTGTCTTCTCTTGTCTTGTCTTCTTATTTATTCTTTTTTAAATTTTTGTAAAATATTTTTTTACTTTTAAATCTCTACATAACACTGACTGACTGACTGACTTTCTACCCCACCCGAGGACACAAAGTGCCACCGTGTGGGTGAGGATCACCGTGGATAGGTCCCAGAAACTGCGTTCAGCCTTTAGGCCATATTTATGGCCAGGCTATATTGCGGCCCCTGGCAAGAGCCAGAGTAAGGCTTCAAATAAGGAAAAATTTCATCATGAAAATGACGGGAAGTTCGAACACATATACGTAACACGACGTTCATCGTTCGCATTGGATCTTTCTGTTCATCAGGATTTGCACACACAAAGATCAGAAAAGATTCACAACACAGTCAGAAAGAAAATGTACAATATAACAAAACAAAACAAACATTCACCAGCTACAAGGGATCAGGTGGATCATCTGAAAAGCAGCGCATCAACACATGGACAGAGCAGATGTAAACAATTTATGGACTGGGCTAGTGGATAATGACAAATCTCTGACACTTACGTGATTCTGTGATATGAGAATGAATCATAGTGAAGCACGTCTATGCTGCTCTTGAGACTGAGAAAGGAGACATTGTAAGTAACTTTTTATGGGAACAATACAGTCAGACAGTTACTGGTGCCACTGGAATTGAAACTCTTTGTTTGCTGCTGAAGAGGACGGAGGGCTTATGGGAGTGTCCAGTCTGCAGAGGTACCATGGAGCTGCTGCGGCATCTGCTGTCCGAGCACGCATAGGTATGCCCAAGGTGCAGTGATGTCGATTCTTAATTCAACATGGGAACAATCAGCAGAGGTACCATGGAGCTGCTGCGGCATCTACTGACCGAGCATGCATGGGTATGCCCAGTGTGCAGTGATGTTGATTGTAAAAACATAACAAAATAATGAATCAACAGATCATCCTACTTTGCATATCGGAACATCTGCTCATTAGGGCTCACATACCTGTCTGAGTAAATCCTGTAGTGTGTAGCGGCTGAAAACACCAGTTTTGTTGTTGTTGTTTTGACATTCTTCCTTTGTAAAAATAAAATCCCAACCTTCACAGTCTGTGGTGACAGTAGAAGCTGTAAGGCCCTTCAGGCTCAATGACCCTGCTGCGTACACGGCAAAAGTGATACATTCAGGTAGTAACGGCAGATTTGTTGGCAGATTCTTCATCTTTAACTTCCTGCCTAGTGATCTTTCTTGTCTGGCCTAGATGATTCATCTTTAGCTTCCTACCCAGTGATCTTTCTTGTCTTCCCTAGATGATTCATCTTTAGCTTCCTACCCAGTGATCTTTCTTATCTGGCCTAGATGATTCATCTTCAGCTTCCTACCCAGTGATCTTTCTTATCTTCCCTAGATGATTCATCTTTAGCTTCCTACCTAGTGATCTTTCTTATCTTCCCTAGATGATTCATCTTTAGCTTCCTACCTAGTGATCTTTCTTATCTTCCCTAGATGATTCATCTTTAGCTTCCTACCTAGTGATCTTTCTTGTCTGGCCTAGATGATTCATCTTTAGCTTTCTACCGAGTGATCTTTCTTATCTGGCCTCACCACTTTTTACTTGCTGTTCTTGCAGTTTGATCATTGTTTGCAGATTCAGACTTATTTCTTGATTTTCCCAAACATCTGCATCTAAAGCTTTCAGTATATCAGCATGGTCGTTTACGTGTCCGCCTTCCACATTAGGGAAAAACAGGATTCAAGTATATGAACCACACAACAACAACAACAACAACAACAACAATAATAGCTTAAAAACACACAAAATATAATTAGATCTTGCTGTACTATCTTTCTTATCAAGCATGACATAAGTAGGTCATGGACCCTGTTCCACACTTTCATGCTCACTGGGCATATAGGGCTAGACCTGTATTTTATAGAACAATTGGCACTTGGTGGATGATGTCGCCAGGACTTTACCTGGTACCCATTAAAGGCTGCGTCGACCTGGGATCCAGGGTAATTTTAAAAAACAAAAAAAGAAAGTCTGGCTCCCTCAAGATCTGAACCCACAACCTCTGGATCTGCAGCTGAGCGTCTAGCTGTTTCACCATGGTGGCTCCCAAGCATGACATAAGGTTGGAGGTTATGCTGAAATTTGAAGTTTTGGCCTGAAAGGCAGAAATATCACAGCCTAGCTGTAAATCAAATACAGTGTGCCAACCACACTTTTAAGAGGAAACAGAAGACGGTATGCCCAATATACCACAGTGATGTGAAAACAATCCTTTACTTTTTTTTAAAATCAAATTATCTTTATTAATGCTATTTCTCTTAAGTATTGTGAATGTTAACTGTATTCTACATTGTGAATGATGACTCATTGTCTTCCACAATGTAAATGTTGACTGAATGTCTTCTCTGTTGTGAATTTTGACTGAATGTCTTTACATTGTGAATGTTGACTGATTGTCTTCTTCATTATGAATGTTGACTGAATGTTTTCTCCATTATGAATGTTGACTGAATATCTTCTCTGTTGTGAACATTGACTGTCTTCTACATTGTGAATGTTGACTAAATGTCTTTTACATTGTGAATGTTGACTAAATGTCTTTTAAATTGTGGATGTTGACTAAATGTCTTTTACATTGTGAATGTTGACTATATGTCTTTTACATTGTGTATGTTGATTATATGTCTTTTACATTATTAATGTTGACTGAATATCTTCTCCATTATGAATGTTGACTGAATATCTTCTCTGCTGTGAACGTTGACTGTCTTCTACATTGTGAATGTTGACTGAATGTCTTCTACATTGTGAATATTGACTGAATATCTTCTCTGTTGTAAATGTTGACTTTATGTCTTTTACATTGGGTTTGTTGACTGATTGTTTTCTCCATTGTGAATGTTGACTAACTGTCTTCCCCAGCTGGTGACTGATGTTACCAATGCTCAAGTGTTAGAGAACAGAAGAAACACCATATCTCTGGGGGATGAACCGGCATTTGTTAGCTGTAAGTCACACTGTGTGCCACTTGATATTGTTCCTGTCTCCATAATTTGTTAGCTGTAAGTCACTCTGTGTGCCACTTGATATTTTCCCTGTCTCCAACATTCGTTAGCTGTAAGTCACTCTGTGTGCCACTTGATATTGTTCCTGTCTCCGGCATTTCTTAGCTGTAAGTCACTCTGTGTGCCACTTGATATTGTTCCTGTCTCCGGCATTTTTTAGCTGTAAGTCACTCTGTGTGCCACTTGATATTGTTCCTGTCTCCAACATTTTTTAGCTGTAAGTCATTCTGTGTGCCACTTGATATTTTCCCTGTCTCCAACATTTGTTAGCTGTAAGTCACTCTGTGTGCCACTTGATATTGTTCCTGTCTCCAACATTTGTTAGCTGTAAGTCACTCTGTGTGCCACTTGATATTGTTCCTGTCTCCAACATTTGTTAGCTGTAAGTCACTCTGTGTGCCACTTGATATTGTTCCTGTCTCCAACATTTGTTAGCTATAAGTCACTCTGTGTGCCACTGTCTCCAGATATTGTTGCCACTGTCTCCCAACATTTGTTAGCTATAAGTCACTCTGTGTGCCACTTGATATTTTCCCTGTCTCCAGCATTTGTTAGCTATAAGTCACTCTGTGTGCCACTTGATATTTTCCCTGTCTCCAACATTTGTTAGCTGTAAGTCACTCTGTGTGCCACTTGATATTTTCCCTGTCTCCAACATTTGTTAGCTGTAAGTCACTCTGTGTGCCACTTGATATTTTCCCTGTCTCCAACATTTGTTAGCTGTAAGTCACTCTGTGTGCCACTTGATATTGTTCCTGTCTCCAAAATTTTTTAGCTCCAACATTTGTTCCTGTCTCCAACATTTTTTAGCTATAAGTCACTCTGTGTGCCACTTGATATTGTTCCTGTCTCCAACATTTTTAGCTATAAGTCACTCTGTGTGCCACTTGATTGTTTCTCCCATGTCTCCAACATCTGTGTTTGATATTGTTCTGTAAGCTCACTCTGTGTGCCACTTGATATTTTCCAACATTTTTTAGCTGTGTCTCCAACATTTGTTAGCTGTAAGTCACTCTGTGTGCCACTTGATATTGTTCCTGTCTCCAACATTTGTTAGCTGTAAGTCACTCTGTGTGCCACTTGATATTGTTCCTGTCTCCAACATTTGTTAGCTGTAAGTCACTCTGTGTGCCACTTGATATTGTTCCTGTCTCCAACATTTGTTAGCTAGCTATAAGTCACTCTATAAGTCACTCTGTGTGTGTCTCCAGCATTTGTTAGCTATAAGTCACTCTGTGTGCCCCTGTCTCCAACATTGAAGTATTGTTGCCTGATATTTTCCCTGTCCAACATTTGTTAGCTGTAAGCACTCTGTGTGCCACTTGATATTTTCCCTGTCTCCAACATTTGTTAGCTGTAAGTCACTCTGTGTGCCACTTGATATTTTCCCTGTCTCCAACATTTGTTAGCTGTAAGTCACTCTGTGTGCCACTTGATATTTTCCCTGTCTCCAACATTTGTTAGCTGTAAGTCACTCTGTGTGCCATTTTTCCCTGTCTCCAGCTATAAGCTGTACTCACTCTGTGTGCCACTTGATATTGTTCCTGTCTCCAAAATTTTTTAGCTATAGTCAGTCACTTGATGTTTTCCCTGTCTCCAACATTTGTTAGCTGTAAGTCACTCTGTGTGCCACTTGATATTGTTCCTGTCTCCAACATTTTTTAGCTATAAGTCACTCTGTGTGCCACTTGATATTGTTCCTGTCTCCAACATTTTTTAGCTATAAGTCACTCTGTGTGCCACTTGATATTGTTCCTGTCTCCAACATTTTTTAGCTATAAGTCACTCTGTGTGCCACTTGATATTTTGCCTGTCTCCAACATTTGTTAGCTATAAGTCACTCTGTGTGCCACTTGATATTTTGCCTGTCTCCGGCATTTTCTGATTGTTGGTTTTAGATGAAGGTATTTAGGCACTAAAATGGGAAATAAATGGACAAGAAATTAGGATGACCAAGAGAAAATCTAAATACAAAATATAATCTTTACTTCGCATTTACTGGCTGTAAACTCCAGCTGTAAACACCAGCTGTAAACACCAGCTGTAAACTCCGGCTGTAAACACCAGTTGTAAACACCGGCTGTAAACACCAGCTGTAATTACCAGCTGTAAACTCCGGCTGTAAACACCGGCTGTAAACACCAGCTATAAACACCAGCTGTAAACACCAGCTGTAAACTCTGTCACAAAGTTCTGGTTGTTCATCCATCTCTAGGCTTAAGTCTTGTTCCAGAACCTGAGATGTGCGTGCACATCCTTTTATAGTTCTGACTGACATTTATGCAGACTGTTGGTTCCTCGCCTTTAGGCAGATGCACCTCGTCTTCGAAAGAAGCTCCTAGATAGTTAGTTGACTCTTACAGCATGCTTTGTTAGGGAGGCATTGGGTCTATTCCCCTACATGGGGAACACAGAATGAGAGAGACCAAAAGTGCTGCACTGGATCCATCCATGGTATCGCAAGGAATGCACAGGGTAGATTGGAATGGATGACTAGATTTTGAGCCCAGTGTGATGTAAAACAACACAACAGGAGTATGATGATGATGATGATGACTGTTGGTGCCCATTTACCTGCTAGTGGAGGAGCTGGATTTATGGATTCTTTGATGGTTGATAAAGGCAGTCTTGGCACTGAATGTTCTTTGACAATATGGGCATGGAATATAAGTCACATATTAGAGAAATAATCCTATCGCCGCAAGAAAGCTTTAAAAAAATGAACCCATTGGTATTCCCTAAAAAAATACTTTAAAAAAAATTTCACACAACTCACTAATTATTTTTTTTTTTTAATATTATATATCTACATTTACAAATAATTTCTTTCAAAATATGTGAAGATATTCTAAAGGGGTAATCAATAAAAGAGTGAAGCTAATTGGTCATTGGTGAAGCTTCCTTCAGTGCAGACGGGTCGTCCCATAGCTGCTCCTTGACTATGCCAGTAGAAACCACACAAAATGTCTTTCACTGTGACAGTGGAAACTACACAAAATGTCTTTTACTGTGCCGGTAGAAACCACACAAAATGTCCTTCACTGTGCCAGTGAAAACCACACAAAATGTCTGTCACTGTGCCAGTGGAAACCACACAAAATGTCCTTCACTGTGCCAGTAGAAACCACACAAAATGTCCTTGACTGTGCCGGTGGAAACCACACAAGATATCCTTTATTGTGCCAGTGGAAACCACACAAGATGTCCTTCACTGTGCCAGTAGAAACCACACAAAATGTCCGTCACTGTGCCAGTGGCAACCACACAAAATGTCCTTGACTGTGCCAGTAGAAACCACACAAAATGTCCTTGACTGTGCCAGTAGAAACCACACAAAATGTCCATGACTGTGCCAGTAGAAACCACACAAAATGTCCTTGACTGTGCCAGTGGAAACCACACAAAATATCCTTCACTGTGCCAGTGGAAACCACACAAAATGTCCGTCACTGTGCTGGTGGAAACCACACAAAATGTCCTTAACAGTGCCATTTGAAAACTAGGGATAAACATATCAAAATTGGAGTCTAAAAAACCCAAAATGTATCAGATGACTTATGCCATCACTTGAAGATCTCTATCACTGAGGTTGCAGAGACACTTTGATGTCATTATGGCTTTTAAAAAAACCATTTGGTTCACCAGAAAACTCTGTTTGTTAGTACATGAATTCTTATCCTGATCTCCTAAATATTGTGCTAGCACAACCAGTATTATAAACTGTGCGTCTCATAAACAGGTCACTGTAGAAAAGTTCATTAGGTAACATTTATGTGGAGCTAAACCCAACTGGAAGTGTCGGTTTTGCAGCTTCTCAGGTGTCAGAGTCAAGTTGTCTCGAGGATTTTGATCAGCCTTCTCTTACAGTCATTCCAGATAGAAAAAAATGAAAAATAAAAAATGTGTGTGCACGTACGAGCGCACAAACACATGCATGCACACAAAGGGGGTTTACAAATTTGAATTTTGCTTAGAAGATGTTAACTCCGTTAAATTATTTTTGCAGTATCCACATCTGCCATCCACACCGGGTGTACCAGTTCCTCTGCCTCGGTGGATAAAAGTGGATTGGATGAGTTTGACTTTCCATTTCTGTCACCTTTGGGTTCGTTAGAAAATTTGTATGAATCTATTCTACCTAAACCTGAGGGGAACCAGCCTAACTTCTACGATCCTCCGACAAGTCCAAAAGTGGTGTGTCCAAATGTGACTTCAGACGGCTACTTGGAACCTGTACCGCCCTTATCCGTTACTGCAGCAGCATCATCGTCTTTATCACTACTTGGTACCACAGCAACAAATGTTTCATCCTCCTCTTCCACATCATCAGCATCCTCAATGACAACCAATGCATCTGTTATCAAATCACCTTTAGTCAAATCCAAAGCCACCTCTTCTACAACTGAAAGACCCAAAGATGCACATGCCAACTATAAAGACTCAGGCACCTTCCCCTCCCATAGCAGTGGTACCACATCTTCAGACTCTAGTGAGACCAACTCAGCAGAAAACTCTGGAGGATCGTTGCCAGACCCCGCACAGATGCCTTCGTGGCATCCTTCAGATGTGTCATTGAAAGGAATATCCAGCACGGTTGGGTCTTCTGGGTTAGGCCCAACATTTGTAGAACCTGAAATGACTGAACAAAGACGATTACTTCTGGCCTCCCAGCCGATTTATGAAGAAATTCCAAATGGGGATAACGAAGATGTTGAGGATTACAAGGATGCTAATGTGGTCACAAGGAAAGATGTTGATGGACTGGCATGGGGTTCAAAGGCTGACTTGTTCTCTAGAGGTACGAATGATACATCATCCTTGAAGAGGGTAATATTACCCGAAGTTTCCAAGAACCAGATAGCCCAGTCTTGGCTGCAGCAGCAGTCACAATTTGTAGGGACAACATCCCCACTGCCAGCATCATTGCTGTCGGGGACGCCATCATCGTTATCATCCAGCACCACGTCCGTAGGTGCAGCTTCCTCATCACCATCTCACACCTTGCCGAGGAAGAACTCGGCATCTTCTTCAGTACCTGTGTCATCAGCATTTTCAGTGACATTGTCCCATACCTTGCCAAGGCAGAACTCTCCGTCATCATCATTGACAATGACGTCATCCCACACCTTGCCCAGGCAGAACTCTGTATCATCATCGACACCTGTGTCATCATCATTGTCCATGACGTCATCCCAGATAATGTCATCATCCCTGATGACAGCGTCACTGACATCGAGCATGCTGCCCCCACCTCCGCCTCCTCCAGCACTGCCTCCGTCAGCAAGCCGCTCCATCTCTAAAGAAACAGTCTCCTCGGAGTCAGACACCCAGTCCTTGTGCAGCAACGACGCCCACTCCAACTCCAGCACTTGGTCCAGGCCTAGACCAACCCCTCGACAGAAGCCCAAGAGGCCTGAAACCGGCGGCTGTGATCAGTACATATCCATGAACAAACCAAATGCCCAGGTAAGTTCTATGTTGTCATTAATATGTTCCCATGAACAAACCAAATGCCCAGGTAAGTTCTATGTTGTCATTAATATGTTCCCATGAACAAACCAAATGCCCAGGTAAGTTCTATGTTGTCATTAATATGTTCCCATGAACAAACTAAATGCCCAGGTAAGTTCTATGTTGTCATTAATAAGTGCCCATGAACAAACTAAATGCCCAGGTAAGTTCTATGTTGTCATTAATATGTTCCCATGAACAAACCAAATGCCCAGGTAAGTTCTATGTTGTCATTAATAAGTGCCCATGAACAAACTAAATGCCCAGCTAAGTCCTATGTTGTGATTAATATGTGCCCATGAACAAACTAAATGTTCCCTTGTGTGGGGTCTGGGGCACATTGGGAGGGGGGGGGGGGGGGGGTATAGATCAACTGCTTTTTAACAAGTTAGTTGCATATTCTTTACAGGGCCTTATAGAACTAACCTCAGCATTTGTAGGCTGTTGTGGTTTTTCTAGGCAAATTTTACGTTCAGTAGTTTGCCATTGCTTCTGAACAGTGAACTCTCGGTACCACTGTTGAAACCAATTCAGCTGGGATTGAACCCGGTACCCCAGCATTACGAAGCACATTCACAACGCCTAAGCCACAGACGTCGACCTTGACAAGCATAGCATAAAAGCAACTAATTTACGATTCAACCGAATGTGGTGGACAGAAAAGTGCAGATGTCACAGCCTAGCTGTAAACTACAACATACCAACCACCATTTTAACTTTTAAAAGTGAACACAAATGAAGAAGAAGAAAACAAAATACTGAAATAAGTTGTGTGTGGATTCTCATTAATATGTAACTGTGAAGAAATAAATATTAATGTGTTAAAAAACATTGTAATTAACGCATATTTTCAAACAAACATTTTGTTTATATAAATTAAAGGGTCTTATTTCATACATCTGTAGGTGTGTATAAACATGTGGGTATATGTGAATGTTTGGGGTGTGTAAATGTATGGGTATGTGTCTGTATGTGTGGATTTATATAAATGTATAGATGTATGTAAATTTTTTGGATGTGTACAAACATGTGGATATGTCTAAATGTGCGGGTATGCATAAACATGTGGATATTTGTTAACATTTGTGTCAGTGTGCCGGTATGTCTACACATGTCGTTACATGTAAATGAGTGGGTTTCTGTAAACATGCAGGTAGGTGTAAGCATGTGGGTGAGCCTTCCTATATGGGCATCCATCACATATGTATGTGTTCAGGTGGGCATCCATCACATATGTATGTGTTCAGGTGGGCATCCATCACATATGTCTGTGTTCAGGTGGGCATCCATCACATATGTATGTGTCTGTGTTCAGGTGGGCATCCATCACATATGTCTGTGTCTGTGTTCAGGTCCATCACATATGGCATCCATCCATCACATATGTATATGTGTTCAGGTGTCACATATGTCTGTTTCAGGTGGGCATCCATCACATATGTATGTATGTGTCTGTGTTCAGGTGGGCATCCATCACATATGTCATGTGTCTTGTATTCAGGTGGGCATCCATCACATATGTATGTGTCTGTGTTCAGGTGGGCATCCATCACATATGTATGTGTCTGTGTTCAGGTGGGCATCCATCACATATGTATGTGTCTGTGTTCAGGTGGGCATCCATCACATATGTATGTGTCTGTGTTCAGGTGGGCATCCATCACATATGTCTGTGTTCAGGTGGGCATCCATCACATATGTATGTGTCTGTGTTCAGGTGGGCATCCATCACATATGTATGTGTCTGTGTTCAGGTGGGCATCCATCACATATGTATGTGTCTGTGTTCAGGTGGGCATCCATCACATATGTATGTGTCTGTGTTCAGGTGGGCATCCATCACATATGTAGGTGGGCATCCATCACATATGTGTGTCAGGTGTTCAGGCATCCATCACATATGTGTGTGTTCAGTGTGTTCAGGTGGGCATCCATCACATATGTGTCTGTGTTCAGGTGGGCATCCATCACATATGTCTGTGTCTGTGTTCAGGTGGGCATCCATCACATATGTGTGTGTCAGTGTTCAGGTTCAGGTAGCATCCATCACATATGTATGTGTCTGTGTTCAGGTGGGCATCCATCACATATGTATGTGTCTGTGTTCAGGTGGGCATCCATCACATATGTATGTGTCTGTGTTCAGGTGGGCATCCATCACATATGTATGTGTCTGTGTTCAGGTAGGCATCCATCACATATGTATGTGTCTGTGTTCAGGTGGGCATCCATCACATATGTATGTGTCTGTGTTCAGGTAGGCATCCATCACATATGTATGTGTCTGTGTTCAGGTGGGCATCCATCACATATGTATGTGTCTGTGTTCAGGTGGGCATCCATCACATATGTATGTGTCTGTGTTCAGGTAGGCATCCATCACATATGTATGTGTCTGTGTTCAGGTGGGCATCATCACATGTATGTGTCTGTGTTCAGGTAGGCATCCATCACATATGTATGTGTCTGTGTTCAGGTGGGCATCCATCACATATGTATGTGTTTGTGTTCAGGTGGGCATCCATCACATATGTATGTGTCTGTGTTCAGGTGGGCATCCATCACATATGTATGTGTCTGTGTTCAGGTGGGCATCCATCACATATGTATGTGTCTGTGTTCAGGTAGGCATCCATCACATATGTGTATGTGTGTCCATGTGTTCTGTGTTCAGGTGGGCATCCATCACATATGTATGTGTCTGTGTTCAGGTGGGCATGTCACATGTGTGTCTGTGTTCAGGTGGGCATCCATCACATATGTATGTGTCTGTGTTCAGGTAGGGCATCCATCACATATGTATGTGTCTGTGTTCAGGTAGGCATCCATCACATATGTGTCTGTGTTCAGGTGGGCATCCATCACATATGTATGTGTCTGTGTTCAGGTAGGCATCCATCACATATGTATGTGTCTGTGTTCAGGTGGGCATCCATCACATATGTATGTGTCTGTGTTCAGGTAGGCATCCATCACATATGTATGTGTCTGTGTTCAGGTAGGCATCCATCACATATGTATGTGTCTGTGTTCAGGTGGGCATCCATCACATATGTGTCTGTGTTCAGGTAGGCATCCATCACATATGTCTGTGTTCAGGTAGGCATCCATCACATATGTATGTGTCTGTGTTCAGGTAGGCATCCATCACATATGTGTCTGTGTTCAGGTGGGCATCCATCACATATGTATGTGTCTGTGTTCAGGTAGGCATCCATCACATATGTATGTGTCTGTGTTCAGGTAGGCATCCATCACATATGTATGTGTCTGTGTTCAGGTGGGCATCCATCACATATGTATGTGTCTGTGTTCAGGTGGGCATCCATCACATATGTGTCTGTGTTCAGGTGGGCATCCATCACATATGTATGTGTCTGTGTTCAGGTGGGCATCCATCACATATGTGTCTGTGTTCAGGTAGGCATCCATCACATATGTATGTGTCTGTGTTCAGGTAGGCATCCATCACATATGTATGTGTCTGTGTTCAGGTGGGCATCCATCACATATGTATGTGTCTGTGTTCAGGTGGGCATCCATCACATATGTATGTGTCTGTGTTCAGGTGGGCATCCATCACATATGTATGTGTCTGTGTTCAGGTAGGCATCCATCACATATGTATGTGTCTGTGTTCAGGTGGGCATCCATCACATATGTATGTGTCTGTGTTCAGGTAGGGTCATCCATCACATATCACATATGTATGTGTGTGTTCAGGTAGGCATCCATCACATATGTATGTGTCTGTGTTCAGGTAGGCATCCATCACATATGTATGTGTCTGTGTTCAGGTAGGCATCCATCACATATGTATGTGTCGTCTGTGTTCAGGTAGGCATCCATCACATATGTATGTGTCTGTGTTCAGGTAGGCATCCATCACATATGTATGTGTCTGTGTTCAGGTGGGCATCCATCACATATGTATGTGTCTGTGTTCAGGTGGGCATCCATCACATATGTGTCTGTGTTCAGGTGGGCATCCATCACATATGTATGTGTGTTCAGGTGGGCATCAGGTGGGCATCATCACATATGTATGTGTCTGTGTTCAGGTAGGCATCCATCACATATGTATGTGTCTGTGTTCAGGTGGGCATCCATCACATATGTATGTGTCTGTGTTCAGGTGGGCATCCATCACATATGTATGTGTCTGTGTTCAGGTAGGCATCCATCACATATGTATGTTCTGTGTTCAGGTGGGCATCCATCACATATGTATGTGTTCAGTGTTCAGGTGGTTCAGGTGGGCATCCATCACATATGTATGTGTCTGTGTTCAGGTGGGCATCCATCACATATGTATGTGTTCTGTGTTCAGGTAGGCATCCATCACATATGTATGTGTCTGTGTTCAGGTAGGCATCCATCACATATGTATGTGTCTGTGTTCAGGTAGGCATCCATCACATATGTATGTGTCTGTGTTCAGGTAGGCATCCATCACATATGTATCACATATGTCTGTGTTCCATCACATATGTATGTGTCTGTGTTCAGGTAGGCATCCATCACATATGTATGTGTCTGTGTTCAGGTGGGCATCCATCACATATGTATGTGTCTGTGTTCAGGTGGGCATCCATCACATATGTATGTGTCTGTGTTCAGGTGGGCATCCATCACATATGTATGTGTCTGTGTTCAGGTAGGCATCCATCACATATGTATGTGTCTGTGTTCAGGTAGGCATCCATCACATATGTATGTGTCTGTGTTCAGGTAGGCATCCATCACATATGTATGTGTCTGTGTTCAGGTAGGCATCCATCACATATGTATGTGTCTGTGTTCAGGTAGGCATCCATCACATATGTATGTGTCTGTGTTCAGGTGGGCATCCATCACATATGTATGTGTCTGTGTTCAGGTAGGCATCCATCACATATGTATGTGTCTGTGTTCAGGTGGGCATCCATCACATATGTATGTGTCTGTGTTCAGGTAGGCATCCATCACATATGTGTCTGTGTTTCAGGTGGCGCATCCATCACATATGTATGTGTCTGTGTTCAGGTAGGCATCCATCACATATGTATGTGTGTGTTCAGGTGGGCATCCATCATGTATGTGTCTGTGTTCAGGTGGGCATCCATCACATATGTGTCTGTGTTCAGGTGGGCATCCATCACATATGTGTCTGTGTTCAGGTGGGCATCCATCACATATGTATGTGTCTGTGTTCAGGTGGGCATCCATCACATATGTATGTGTCTGTGTTCAGGTAGGCATCCATCACATATGTGTCTGTGTTCAGGTAGGCATCCATCACATATGTATGTGTTTATGTTCAGGTGGGCATCCATCACATATGTATGTGTCTGTGTTCAGGTGGGCATCCATCACATGTATGGTGTGTTCAGGTGGCATGTGTCTTTATGTTCAGGTGTGGCATCCATCACATATGTATGTGTCTGTGTTCAGGTAGGCATCCATCACATATGTATGTGTCTGTGTTCAGGTAGGCATCCATCACATATGTATGTGTCTGTGTTCAGGTAGGCATCCATCACATATGTATGTGTCTGTGTTCAGGTGGGCATCCATCACATATGTATGTGTTTGTGTTCAGGTGGGCATCCATCACATATGTATGTGTTTGTGTTCAGGTATCCCTGAGTGAGGAAACACTGCGGGACGTCTTCTCCAAACTAACCAGCATCACGTTCCATGCCCTTCAAGACATCTATGCTCAGTTTGAGAAGGTCCTGTCCGTGGATCGGCTGGAAGTGCCCAACTCCAAGATGCTGAAATGGGCTGACTTTGACATCTACGGCCAGCCGCTGCATGCTTCAGGGAGATGTGTGGTCTACAACGCCAAGTTGAAGGCAAACGGCTGCCCTTGTCAGCTGTTGGTAGGTTGAGGTTTGCTGCTTCATGGGTGCCCTGTGTGTTTTTTGCTGTTCTCTTTGTCTGTGTCTTTCTTTCTCTCGCTTGTTTTTTCTCACCTCTTTATACCCCTTCTATCTTCCTCTCTTTATTCCCTGTCTCTGTCTTTCAGTTTCCCTATCTCTTTCTTCCTCATCTTTATTCCTCTGTTCCTCTTACTCTCTCACTTTTTCTTTTCTCTGTCCCTTCTCTCTCTCTCTCTCTCTCTCTCTCTCTCTCTCTCTCTCTCTCTCTCTCTCTCTCTCTCTCTCTTTTTCTCTCACATATATCTTTATTTTCCTTTTTTTCCTTTCTGTCACTTTTTCATACCCCCCCCCCCCCCCCCCCCCCACAACCACACACACTTTTTCCCCATTTCTTCCTTCCTTTTTCTCTCTCCATACCTTTTTTTTTTTTATCTTTAAATCTTTATTTATAAAGTATTGAAAATCTTTAGTGTTTCATTTACACAGCATTAAAAAAAAAACAAATGAATATGTACTGATTGACACTGATAGAAGTAAAAGTGTGACAAAATGTCTAAATGCTAAATGTATTTGCAGAACTAAACAAATTACTAGCAATCAGTAAGTAAGGAAAGTACTGGTAGTTGATAGGATACAATAGGAAAACCTCAAAATAGTATGGCTAGGAAAGGCTTTCTCTGGAACCCACAGGGCAGTAGAAATAGAAGGTGACCACAATCATAGGTTGTGATTGTAACAGAGTCACAAAGAATGGTCAAATTGTAGATATAGGCTTGCTGCATGCAGAGTGACAAGCATGGCTTCAGAGATCCCAGACAGCGTCTTGTAGATATTGTCTCTGAGGATGTAAGTGTATTAGGAAATAAACAGGCAGACAGATTGGCTATAGGTGTACCACAGGGTGGTGAAATGATGCATGAGCAGCCAGATTTGGTCAAGGGCCTTTAAGACTTCAGGTAGTAAACTGTGGAAGTGCAAAGAGAGGGTCTGGAGAGAATAGTGCGGTCAGGAGTGACCAGAGTGACCATAGGATGTGATGATAGCTCTACACTCACTATAAAAACCACTTGGACAATAAGCAGACTGCTTCTGGTGCCATCAGCATTAGAATTCATTGCTGGCTGCTGAAAATGGGGATGGAGCGCTTATGGGAATGTCCAGAGTGCTGTGATATAGGTTCTTAATTCAGGTCAAGTGAAAAAGATACATGTTCTCAAAATGTCTTCTGTTAGTTTGCTAATGTTGTAGCTTGGCTTCTTCATGTTGTTTATGCAGATGGGAAGATCCCCCAGCTTACAGATCAGTGAGTTTGTCTGGTATTGTTTTTTGTTGTATCATTAAAATAGGGGCTTTTTGAACTGAAATGCTTCATGTGTCGGCTCTGCATTTATGGAAGCCTCCTTGGATGGTGGGGAATCCCCATGATCTGTCCCTGCCTTTCCTTGAGGGCTGACAATTCTACATAGAGCTGCCTTAAGGACGACATTCCGGGGGCCACACCTGTTAATGGTCAAAGAGGAAACCACACAAATGAGGCAACATCTCAACCCACACAAAACAATGGCCACAGTCAACCTAGAATTAGGCTTGACGTCTTCCCTCGAAGTCGGAGTACATCTGCCGGAGAGGCGGGGAACGAGAACTGCGAGCAAATAAGCCAGTAAAACGGATGTACACGCAAAACTCAGGTCAAGGTAAAACCCAAAGGCCATTTTGGACGAACAACCGCGACTTACAGCCGGAATTCACAGCCGGTGAACAAGCAGAAGAAGAAGAAGAAGAACTGAAATGCTATAGACAGATTCTCAGAGTACCATGAACCAGGAAGAACAAAAATATGGACATCCTAAGAGATCTGAACATCAAGGAAGATCGGCTAGTTAATAGCACTGTGTCTCGGAAAAAGGAATATTTTGGCGATATCAAGTGCTGCAGCGGATTGAAAAAAATAGTAGCTGAAGGCATGGTGCCAGGAAGGATGAGCACAGAAATGTGCACAGGATATAAGTGACACGTTGGTAGGAAAGTGCAAGACACAGGAAATCTGGCAAGAGACCAAGTTTTTTTTTTTTCAGGCAGGCCGTGATGGGAGCAACTTTCTTCCCTGGTGAGTTGTGTCATTGTCTGGTGGTGTCATATACTGAGGAAAGCTTTCCAGCCATAATATTTATTTGTCATCTGTGATTGTGATTGTGTTAAGCTGTCTAGTTCTGGCTGCCAATTTATTGATGGCGTTTCAGCATATTTACTGATAACTTTTGTATATTGGCAGATTCTGCATTCACGACCAGCAACAGAGATGTGTATGAGCACTCATCCAAGCCTACTGACGCCGTCTGCCGTGTTTGCTGACACCATCCCGTTCTCGTATCTGACCCCTGACTTCATTAAAACCTCCCAGCTGTTGCAGAACTCAGTCTACGACTCCAGCCAGGCCAGGTGTTTTATTGCTGTCGGTGAGCAGGCTGGCTGTGTCTATTCATGTATCCATGGAATGTTTGTACTGGGAGCGGGATGTCAGGGGAGATAAACACATCTGTAGATGTTTGTTTCAGCAGAGTTATGTCAGGGGAGATAAGTGAAGCATGTGACAGTCAGATTAGGAAGATATGATTGACCCGGCTCGCTGGCGCATTTGGTTAAAACCCTCTGCACGGCCACCGGGTGATGAACTCCTTGTGGTCTGGGTTCATGCCCGGAGGTAGGCAGAAAAGCCACATTTTTCCCAGATTTACTGTATCTATCATGGAATCAAGGCCGGAAGGTTGTGATATCCTTAGTACCGAACCAAAGGTTTTACAACTCATGGTTTCTGGATTCTTTAAAAAAAAAGGGGGGGGGGGGGGGGGGAAGATATGATTAGATAAGTAATAAGTAAAATTTGTGGCAGTTGAGCTCTGCAGTACTTTCCCGTAGCAAGTATCATGCACTCTGTTACTCATCTTTGAAGAAAACAGTTTAAGATTTTGAACTGAAATGGTACATAAAAAGTCTTAGAATATCATGGACCAAGAAGAAGAAAAACTTTGACACCCATTCTTTGAATTTCAAGGAGAACTGGCTCATAAACGACATCTTCTCCTGAAAGCTGTGTCATTCTGGCCATGTTGCACATCAGGGTGGCCTGGAGGGATTGGTGGTGGAGGGTGTAGTTTCCAGACTATGAGGCAGAGGCAGTCCTCCGCAAATTTGGATACAGGATACTGAAGATGCATCGGTTATGAAAGCACATAGGGCTGGAGAATGAGCTAGAGAGCTAGAGATTTGTAGGCCTGCTGTGACGAGAATGATGTTCTGTAAAAGACATTCTGATTGGTGATGATGTACCCAGTCTTTGTGCTGTCATCATTACCATCTGTTTGTACATCATTTACAGCCCACAGTCTGTTCTGTCCTATGTAATTGTTTTAAATGTTGTGAATGGAATCCAGTCTGGCCCCATTGGCTTGGTCTCTCTCAGCAGAATGGCCAGCTGCTTGCTGAGAGGTGCACTACCCAGCTCTATCGACAGTCCCTGTGATTCGCATAAAAATTACACTTGTGAACTAAAAAAGAAACATGCCATCGATTGGTCTGTGTCAATACGAGTCTGGCATCATATCCCTGACGTAACAATGGTGTAAAAAGTATCCTGGTCTTTTCTGGCATTTGAGGCTGGGTCAGTTTGTAACATTTGCCTTGTTGAAGGTTATGCTCTTTGCCAACCAGGCAAGTGTGCTGGCCACAACACTGCTGCATAAATATTTGCCCCATAATAACCGTTAAATGAATTTTCTGAAACTCTGGCCTAAGAAACTAGAACAAGAGAAAAAGAAGCAGAAGAAAGTTGGTTTATTTTCCTTTCACACGGAGAGATGGTTAATGATGATTGTTGCCAGGTAACTCACTAAACATGTGTGCCTGTTTGTGATCCCCTTAGTTTCGTCTTCTCTCCCCAGGAGCTTTTGATATTGTGGAAAGTCTAGACTCCCACCTGACCTTGCTGCGAGAGACCCTGGCTCAAGATTTGAACTCATACCTCAGTGTCATCCTGACTGCCACACTGCAGCTTCTGAGTGCCATGTCGTACTGTTTAGACCAGGTGAGACTTGTGCTGACCTTGTCACCCACCCAGTACCAATTTGTCTATAAAATATAGGTCTAGACCACATGCCCAATACTCTTAAAGGTGCTGAAAAGGGTCCTATACTGTACATAGCAAGGGCAAGAAGATAAAAGCTGATGAAGTACGGCCTTCTCAGGCCTGTAGTTTTTCATATAAATAACTGCTGGAGCTGTAGGTATAGAAAACCTAGTGAGAAAGGGAAACAGTCAGTTCAGCTCATGTAATGAAATAATCTATGATGTTGATTCAAACACTGAAAGAGCACTGTTCAACACAGTATACTTACCATTGCTATGCTGTCAGAGTCAGACATCGACTTCATTTTCTCCAGACTTTTATTTTTCAGAATACAGGAGAAAAATAGTCACAACAGAAATGAAATGTTTACTATCATGGTAGGTGTAACAAGGAAAGACTTTGAAATGGTTATATTAAGAGCAGAGTCGACACAGAACCAATACTGAACTTTATTACAACAGATCAAATGGTTTGGCCATGTAACAAGATTGGCAGCAGACAGGGCCCCACAGAGAGCAATGTTTTACAGATACAACGGTAACAGGGCCTGAGGTCAACCACACAGAATATGGACTGCAGAAATATCGGAGACAGTGAAGAGTACTATATATGAACCCAACAGAAGGGTTCCTTTGCTAGATCTCTTCCAGTCCTGACGCTGTGAGGCGTTCCAGGAGTAGAAGAAGAAGGAAAGTAGATTCAGATCTCTGAGTTGTCTGTTCCTGATTAAAACCAACTTGTATAAAATCTGTAATTCTTGAGCAGGGTCGGAGAGGGTGTTCCTTTAGTGGATCTCTATAGATACTGTCTCTGTGGTTTATCACCTGTAGAACAGAACTGTTTGTAGTTTGTTACAGGGGTCATTAGAACAGAACTGTTTGTAGTTTTTTACAGGGGTCGTTTGAACAGAACTGTTTGTAGTTTGTTACAGGAGTCATTAGAACAGAACTGTTTGTAGTTTGTTACATGGGTCATTAGAACAGAACTGTTTGTAGTTTGTTACATGGGTCATTAGAACAGAACTGTTTGTAGTTTGTTACTGGGGTCATTTGAACAGAACTGTTTGTTACAGGGGTAGTTTGAACAGAACTGTTTGTAGTTTGTTACAGGGGTCATCAGAACAGAACTGTTTGTAGTTTGTTACATGGGTGATCAGAACAGAACTGTTTGTAGTTTGTTACAGGGGTCATTAGAACAGAACTGTTTGTAGTTTGTTACAGGGGTCATTAGAACAGAACTGTTTGTAGTTTGTTACAGGGGTCATTAGAACAGAACTGTTTGAAGTTTGTTACATGGGTCGTCAGAACAGAACTGTTTGTTACATGGGTCATATGAACAGAACTGTTTGTTACAGGGGTCATTTGAACAGAACTGTTTGTAGTTTGTTACAGGGGTCATTAGAACAGAACTGTTTGTACTTTGTTACAGGAGTCATTAGAACAGAAGTGTTTGTTACAGGAGTCATTAGAACAGAAGTGTTTTTAGTTTGTTACAGGGGTAGTTTGAACAGAACTGTTTGTAGTTTGTTACAGGGGTCGTTTGAACAGAACTTGTGTAGTTTGTTACAGGTGTCATTAAACAGAACTGTTTGTAGTTTTTTACAGGGGTCATTAGAACAGAACTGTTTGTAGTTTTTTACAGGGGTCGTTTGAACAGAACTGTTTGTTACAAGAGTCATTAGAACAGAACTGTTTGTAGTTTGTTACATGGGTCATTAGAACAGAACTGTTTGTAGTTTGTTACATGAGTCATTAGAACAGAACTGTTTGTTACAGGGGTCATTTGAACAGAACTGTTTGTAGTTTGTTACAGGGGTTGTTTGAACAGAACTGTTTCTAGTTTGTTACAGGGGTCATTAGAACAGAACTGTTTGTAGTTTGTTACAGGTGTTGGTAGAACAGAACTGTTTGTATGTAGTTTGTTACAGGGGTCATTAGAACAGAACTGTTTGTAGTTTGTTACATGGGTCATTAGAACAGAACTGTTTGTAGTTTGTTACATGGGTCATTAGAACAGAACTGTTTGTAGTTTGTTACATGGGTCATTAGAACAGAACTGTTTGTAGTTTGTTACATGAGTCATTAGAACAGAACTGTTTGTTACAGGGGTCATTTGAACAGAACTGTTTGTAGTTTGTTACAGGGGTTGTTTGAACAGAACTGTTTCTAGTTTGTTACAGGGGTCATTAGAACAGAACTGTTTGTAGTTTGTTACAGGTGTTGGTAGAACAGAACTGTTTGTATGTAGTTTGTTACAGGGGTCATTAGAACAGAACTGTTTGTAGTTTGTTACATGGGTCATTAGAACAGAACTGTTTGTAGTTTGTTACATGGGTCATTACAACAGAACTGTTTGTAGTTTGTTACATGGGTCATTAGAACAGAACTGTTTGTAGTTTGTTACTGGGGTCATTTGAACAGAACTGTTTGTAGTTTGTTACAGGGGTTGGTAGAACAGAACTGTTTGTAGTTTGTTACAGGGGTCATCAGAACAGAACTGTTTGTAGTTTGTTACAGGGGTCAGTAGAACAGAACTGTTTGTAGTTTTTTACAGGGGTCATCAGAACAGAACTGTTTGTAGTTTGTTACAGGGGTCAGTAGAACAGAACTGTTTGTAGTTTGTTACAGGGGTCATCAGAACAGAACTGTTTGTAGTTTGTTACAGGGATCATCAGATCAGAACTGTTTGTAGTTTGTTACAGGGGTCATCAGAACAGAACTGTTTGTAGTTTGTTACAGGGGTCATTAGAACAGAACTGTTTGTAGTTTTTTACAGGGGTCGGTAGAACAGAACTGTTTGTAGTTCTTTATAGGGATCAGTAGAACAAAATTGTTTGTAGTTTGTTACAGCATTGTGTAAAACATGTTAGGCATGTTACAGAGGTTTTCTCTGACAAACAATTAATGTGTGTTTTGTTACAGAGATTTATCTGTCTGAGACTTGAGACCTGACTTTGTTGCAAGGATTTTACATGAATGAAAATCTGTCCTTCTGTGTTTTGTTCCAGGGATTTTCTGTGACTGAGACAGACTACGATGATGTATTTCTCATAACCCGCTCTGACCTGCGGGGGAAGGTTGTGGCCTTTTTACCTCGGCAGCGCTCGCTGGATGTGCCCCAGGGGGAAGCCATTTGTAACTTTCTGGACCGCCTCTTAGTTGGTAACATGCCAGATGAGGGTGATAATGATGATGACAGTGATGTTGGCAATGATGATGAAGATGATGTTGAAAAGATTATATCTAGTCCGAGGAAAGTTGTGTCCAAGTTGAGGTCTATGTTGGGCCACAAGAAAGTGGAGTGTCTGGGTTAGTATTCTTCTAGTCTGTTTACATTTTGTTGACATGTTGTTGTTTGTGTTTAGGATTTGTTCCCCATGGAACATGGAACTGTTCCCGGTTCAGCAACTTCTTATTCTTTGAGTTCGCTGGCTATAAACTCCCGCAGATAGTTTTGGTTGTTTACCCGCTTCTGGACCCTAGTCCTGTTCCATAACTTGCGTTCTGTGTGCACATCCATTTTATAGATCTGGCTTATCTGTGTGCAGATTGTTTGTCCCTTGACTTTCAGGCAGAGGCACTCCGACATCGAAGGAAACACCCCTAATTAGTTGAGCCCTGAAACTTGTAAGGATGGAGGAGAGGGGACAGGGTCTACCCCCCCCCCCCACCATGGCACCTCAAACCCACACAGGGAGGTTTAGCACCATAAGCTGTTTAACAGTTCCTGGTCCAGCTCTAGGAGGTATTTAATTAAATGGTAAGTTGATAAGTGTCGCATGTGGTTTCTGGGACCTCATTTTATGGGTAAGGTGAGGAGGTGAATAGTGCCACTAGCCCCAACAAGCATGTCATAAAAGGTAGCTTATTAGTGTTTGGTATATAGTTACACTTTTACTATATGGTTACATTTACATCAAATGGTTACATTTACACAGTATTTTGTTTACACTGTATGGTTACATTTACACCATATGGTTACATTTACACCATATGTTCACAGTTACACCACATGGTTACAGTTACACCACATGGTTACACCTCACTATGCGGTTACATTTGCACCATATAGTTACACTTTAACTATATGGTTTACATTTACACCATATGGTTACATTTACACCATATGGTTACATTTACACCGTCTGGTTACATTAACACTGTATGGTTTTATTTACACCTTATACTTACATTTAATCATATGGTTACATTTACATCTTATAGTTACATTTACACTATATGGTTACGGTTACACCATATGGTTACATTTACACCATATGGTTACAGTTACACTATATGGTTACAGTTACACTGTATGGTTACATTTACACCATATAGTTACAGTTACACCACATGGTTATAGTTACACCACATGGTTACAGTTACACCATATGGTTACAGTTACACCATATGGTTACAGTTACATCAAATGGTTACATTTACACCACATGGTTACAGTTACACCATATGGTTACAGTTACACCATATGGTTACAGTTACACCATATGGTTACAGTTACACCAAATGGTTACAGTTACACCACACGGTTACAAGTCACAAATGCTTTCAATCCTCCAGGACAAGTGAGAACCACGGTGGAGTATTTGCTGTGGGGTCCGGCCCTGTCGGAGCTGCCTCTGTCGCCCACAAGAGCCGAGTCTAAACCAGCAACCAGGTCACCAGCCGGCGGCGCCAGCAAGGTCAATACCAGGTCACCAGCCAGCAAGGAGCAGGAGTTTTATGTGTGGCTGGAGAAAGAGAGGCTGCTAACTGTTGCCAAGTTGGCCCGCAGCGTGTCTGGTCTTGGAGCCGGGCTGAGCCTCGAGGAATTCTACACACTCAAGTTTCTGCTCAAAACCAGCCCAGGCTGTCTCGCTGAGAGCTTAAGACGGCTGTCTCGCTGAGAGCTTAAGACGGCTGTCTCGCTGAGAGCTTAAGACGGCTGTCTCGCTGAGAGCTTAAGACGGCTGTCTCGCTGAGAGCTTAAGACGGCTGTCTCGCTGAGAGCTTAAGACGGCTGTCTCGCTGAGAGCTTAAGACGGCTGTCTCGCTGAGAGCTTAAGACGGCTGTCTCGCTGAGAGCTTAAGACGGCTGTCTCGCTGAGAGCTTAAGACGGCTGTCTCGCTGAGAGCTTAAGACGGCTGTCTCGCTGAGAGCTTAAGACGGCTGTCTCGCTGAGAGCTTAAGACGGCTGTCTCGCTGAGAGCTTAAGACGGCTGTCTCGCTGAGAGCTTAAGACGGCTGTCTCGCTGAGAGCTTAAGACGGCTGTCGAGATAGTTGGCCGTTAGCATTGTTGTGTGATAAGACAGTTGCTGCTTGACAAGTCACTTGACCAGGTAGTCGGCTGTCCAAACAGTCCACTATCTAGATAAGTTATTCAGTTTAGTTAAGATGGACGCTCCTTATTTTTGCACATTTGGCATAAACCCTCATAATTTTTAATAGCCACACTGAAGAATGTGTTCTGCCAAAAGAACTACCAATTACTGCTTTTGTGGTGTAGGCACAGGGTATTTGAGCCTGAGGATTTACAGTCCCATGGCTAGTGCTGTCATCACAGCTGTGCAGGTGAGGATTTTATTTAGAATGTGTTCTAATAAATCAAATTTAGGAATTTCAAAAAGGAGTGCATTCTAAAGCTGACGGTTTCTCTTTTTTTTTTTTTTTTTCTGAAAGATCTCACTGTCCCCTAAAAGATATCACTGTCCCCTTAAAGATCTCACTGTCCCCTTAAAGATCTCACTGTCCCCATAAAGATCTCACTGTCCCCTTAAAGATATCACTGTCCCCTTAAATATCTCACTGTCCCCTTAAAGATCTCACTGTCCCCTTAAAGATCTCACTGTCCCCCTAAATATCTCACTGTCCCCTTAAAGATCTCTGTCCCCTTAAAGATCTCACTGTCCCCTTAAAGATCTCACTGTCCCCTTACAGATCTCACTGTCCCCTTAAAGATCTCACTGTCCCCTTACAGATCTCACTGACCCCTTACAGATCTCAATGTCCCCTTTCAGATCTCACTGTCCCCTTAAAGATCTCACTGTCCCCTTAAAGATCTCACTGTCCCCTTACAGATCTCACTGTCCCCTTAAAGATCTCACTGTCCCCTTACAGACCTCACTGTCCCCTTAAAGATCTCACTGTCTCCTTACAGATCTCACTGTCCCCTTAAATATCTCACTGTCCCCTTACAGATCTCACTGTCCCCTTAAACTTCTTATAAACAACAAAGACATGTAGGTTGTCATCCTTCTATACAGCTGACTGTCTAGTTAAGGCTACTTATCAAAAGCTGGTAATTGACCATTCAGACGTCTGATGACTTGATGGTCAAAGTGGTTGTTTATGACATTTTTGTGACCATTACATTATATATGTATTGGTTTATTCACACATGTCAGTAGACCTGACAACTAAGCTTTGGGGTAAACTTGAGAGAATTGAACTGACATCCCAGTTTATAGCTGATTGAGCACATGACCAGGGATTGAGCACATGACCATGGATTGAGCACATGACCATGGATTGAGCACATGACCATGGATTGAGCACATGACCATGGATTGAGCACATGACCATGGATTGAGCACATGACCAGGGATTGAGCACATGACCAGGGATTGAGCACATGACCAGGGATTGAGCACATGACCAGGGATTGAGCACATGACCAGGGATTGAGCACATGACCAGGGATTGAGCACATGACCATGGATTGAGCACATGACCATGGATTGAGCACATGACCATGGATTGAGCACAAGACCACAGATCCCTGAAGAAGAAGAAGAATTTCCATGTGTGCACAAAGATGGTCACTGAGTTTTTATAGAAACACTGTCAAAATTTGGTGTTTCCATGGTGATTGTATAGGCCACAGTTTCTGTCAACAAGTTGCCAGGTGACAGATGTGTCAGCAAGTTGCCAGGTGACGGATGTGTCAGCAAGTTGCCAGATGACGGATGCGTCAGCAAGTCGCCAGGTGATAGATGTGTCAGCAAGTTGCCAGGTGACAGATGTGTCAGCAAGTTGCCAGGTGACAGATGTGTCAGCAAGTTGGCAGGTGATGAATGTGTCAGCAAGTTGCCAGGTGATGGCACAAGTTGCCAGGTGATGGATGTGTCAGCAAGTTGCCAGGTGATGGATGTGTCAGCATGTTGCCAGGTGACGGATGTGTCAGCAAGTTGCCAGGTGACAGATGTGTCAGCAAGTTGCCAGGTGACGGATGTGTCAGCAAGTTGCCAGGTGACAGATGTGTCAGCAAGTTGCCAGGTGACGGATGCGTCAGCAAGTTGGCAGGTGATGAATGTGTCAGCAAGTTGCCAGGTGATGGCACAAGTTGCCAGGTGATGGATGTGTCAGCAAGTTGCCAGGTGATGGATGTGTCAGCATGTTGCCAGGTGACGGATGTGTCAGCAAGTTGCCAGGTGATGGATGTGTCAGCAAGTTGCCAGGTGACAGATGTGTCAGCAAGTTGCCAGGTGATGGATGCGTCAGCAAGTTGGCAGGTGATGAATGTGTCAGCAAGTTGCCAGGTGATGGCACAAGTTGCCAGGTGATGGATGTGTCAGCAAGTTGCCAGGTGATGGATGTGTCAGCAAGTTGCCAGGTGACGGATGTGTCAGCAAGTTGCCAGGTGATGGATGTGTCAGCAAGTTGCCAGGTGATGAATGTGTCAGCAAGTTGCCAGGTGATGGCACAAGTTGCCAGGTGATGGATGTGTCAGCAAGTTGCCAGGTGACGGATGTGTCAGCAAGTTGCCAGGTGACAGGTGTGTCAGCACTTTATTTTTTTATGTTTTGTTTTAAAACATATCATGTTATAATATTATTCTGACAACTATAATGCAAGTTTCACAAATGCCACTTTGCTCATCTGACAGAAGATTTTTTTTAAAAATAATCACCATTTATTTATCAGTTCTGTTATCATATTTTACAATGAAACTTTGAAGCTTAGATAAAAACTGTGTAGTTTCTCTTCAGAAAATATCTTGTATAAGTGAGCTAAAATTAAAGGACCCTATTCCACATCTTTAGGCACATAGGGCTAGACCTATATTTTATTAACTAATTGGCAGTCTGCAGATACTGTGGTCATCATCCCGCCAGCCACCTTTACTTTCCATGACTTTACCTGATACCTACTCAAGGCCAGAAGCCAAGGTCATTTTTGAAAAAAGGTCCAATTGTCTGAACCTAAACCCATGAGCCTCCGATCCGCAGGTGAGCATCTAGTCACTGAAGACCCTTGTTTAGGTTCTGGGGCCCTATTTTGGTGGTTGAGGGAGCGGACTAATAAACTCACTGCTGTGCAGATGTGTTCGAGAAAAGGGCACCGTTATCACAGATTAGCTCTCAACCACAACATAACATACCAACCCCACTTTTAAAAGCAGACGCAGAAAAAAAAGGGCTGCTGTAAAAAGGCTTTCTTTCCCAGCCAGAGTGTTAATTATGTTTGTTTACTGATCAAGTTGACCAGTTTTCCTTGTCCGTTTATGTCGACTGATTCTCTTGTGCACAAACATGGCTACAAGTTTCTTCATGGCAGATTAGAGAGCATCCCAGCATTCCCCTTTAGAGCTGCCGGGACCTGGTAACATTCACTGCGGTTCTGACATTTATGCATATTCTCATGTGTATTCATTTATTGCAAACATGAATGTTTATGTTGGACATATCGTTTCTCTGACAGAACAGCAAATCTCAGATTAGTCGTACTGTGTGGGGGTGTTTTTTTTTTTTTGGCAGCTTGATAAGTACTTTTGTTGTTGGATAGTTGGGCGGGAAAGCTGTTATTTGGCTCTGTTTCCCATTTTCTTTCTTTTGGTTGATTGATTGATTAATTTGATTCAAGAACCGACATCACAGCACTCGAACCATTCCCATAAGCGCTCTGTCCCCATCTTCAGGAGCCAGCAAAGAATTCCGGTACTAATGGTGCCAGTAGCATTCTGATTAAACGTCCGTCCTGCCTTTCCTCTGAGCCTCGAACATCTGCCAGATTCTTTCTGTTGGTTGGGACAGTTGTCAAATGGCTCTACATCAGGGCTGTTCAACTGGTTGCCGACGGGTCAAACTTGGCCCACGGACCTGGCATGTGGATCATTGCCAGCTTTTTATTTTTGTGAACTTTCTTCGATTTTGGGGACATCTGCCTGAGGGAAGGAACAAACAGTTTGCATACACACAAGTCATCTCTGTAAAACAGATGTGCATTCAACACTCAAATTCTGGATCATGACTACAGTCCAGATGTGGACACAAAAACCAGAACTTTCCACGGGAGTTTACATCTGAGGAATATGGAGAAGAATTTAGTTCATTCCATTGCCAATCCGCTCGTATTATTTTCTTGAGCAAGATGTCTCTAATATTCTGTATTTTCTTAATATTCACCAGCTGTAAACTTAGGCAGAAGGTTCTGGTTGTTCACCCACTTCTAGACAGTGGTCATGTTCTGGAACTTTAGTGTCACGTGCACATCTGTGTTACAGATCATACTTATTTGTTGGTAGTCTGTTGGTTTCTGGCCTCTGTGACCAATGCATAGTTTGCTTGTACTTGAGTCTACTTACTGACCCATAACATAAAACACATGGTGTTCACGGCCATCTTATAGGATGTTTGCTTCACACAAACATCACATGATGTTTATCATCATCACTCAGTATGTTTTTTGTTTTTTTTTCAGACTGACATTGCATGATATTTGTTGTAATTTCACAGACATCAAAAGATGTCAACACAGAATTGTAATTTCACACAAATGCCACATTCTGTTTATTATCATCATCCACACAAATTGCTCATTTCACACAGATATTTCTGGATGTTTGTTGCCCACAGAACATGATGCTTCTTGTCACAACACAGGGTATAATGCGCTCACATGATATT